ATTTCCACCAGGGGCCTCTTTTGAATGGGGGCCAGTGGACACTAGGAGGGAGGAGGCTTCAAAGCCTCACTCCCCACACCCCCATACACCCCCACCCCGCCCTACAGTTCCTCAGAAGGAACAGTCCACATTATTGACAGGGAGTCTGGATCGAATTATGGGACCTCCTCCCCTGATTGAGCCAGAAGGAAAAAGTATTTTTTCTTTAAAATAAAATAAAGCCAGGTGTGGGTAGTTCAAGCCTGTGATCACAGTGCTCGGGAAGTTGAGGCAGGAATATTGTATAGAGTTCCATGCCAAACTACACTGGAGAGTGTGAACCCATCTCAAAACAAAGAAATACTTCTTTTAGTGCTGGGTTTGAGATTGGGAATCTCCTAAGGCTAAGCACACATTTTACCACTTAGTAATGATTCTTCTAAAAACTGTTCAAAACTGTGCTTGCTAGTAGGGTGTGGTGGTGCACACTTCTGATCTCAGATTTTAGAAGACAGAAGAAGGAAGACCTTTGTGAGATCGTGGCACAGCTGTTCTATGTAGAGTTCCAGGCTATCCAGGGCTGCATAATGAAACTTTGTCTCAACAAACTAAAAACCATTCTGAGACAAGGGAGTTGGAAAGGCAGCTCAATCATAGGCAAACCGGCTGCTCTTTCAGAGATCCTGGGTTCAATTCCCAGCAGACACATGGTAGCACACATGTGTCCTTAACTCCAGCACCCTAGCACTAGGGACCCATGCAGTACAGACATACACACAGGAATAAAGGAAGAAAAAATTTAAATATATGTAAAATTTTTTACTGACCATCCCCATGACTAGAAAATGCTGGGCATGGTGGCACATTCCTTTCATTGTAGGACTTGAGAGGCAGAGGCAGGCAGATCTCTGAGTTTGAGGCCAACGTGATCTATAGAGCGAGTTCCAGGACAGCTAGGACTATACAGATAAAACCTGTCTGGAAAAACCAAAAAGAGAAAAAGGAGAGCCGGGTGGTGGTGGCACGTGCCTGTGCCTTTAATCCCAGAACTCGGGAGGCAGAGGCTTGCAGATCTTTGTGAGTTCAAGGCAAGCCTGGTCTACAGAGAAACCCTGTCAGAGAGAGAGAGAGAGAGAGGGAGAGGAAGAGGGAGAGGGAGAGGGAGAGGGAGAGGGAGAGGGGAAAACCGAGAAACAACCTAATTAGACTTTTGAGGTAACTGTTCTGAACAAGTTTTGAACATAATCTTCCATGTGTCTTTCTTTGCGTGCAGATAAAAAGATATGTGTCTCCAACCACACACAGGGTTATGTAAGGTGTTCTGTTCAGTTTTGCTTTTCTCACTTACATCTTGGATATGATTCATTGCTGG